CCATCCTGCTTGGGCTGAAGTATGGTGGCTGTGGCAGCTCCAGCTCACGTGGGCAGCAGCAGAATGGGTCCAGCCCGGCACAGGCTGGAGGGAGAAAGGGAGGCCTGCGGCATACCTGCCCTGGGCTGGGGCTCCTGCGCCACATTAGGCAGCCTGGTCCTGTCCCCCAGGTAGCATCTCCCAGCTGCCTTACCCCCGGAAGCATGGGCACCAGCCCTGGTGTTGCCAGCCCTACCACGCAGCTCCCCCCACCCCCTTCTCCTATTCACAACCCTTTGAAGTATTCTTATGCCTCACTAATGGGTTGCAACCCACAGGCTGAGAAATGCTGGACTGGATCAGCTCCTGAGATCCTTTTCAACCCTAATTTTCTATGATAAGGCAGCTGCAATTCTCCCTCACCAGCGGGAGAGATCTCTAAAAGCGGCCTTAGAGAAGCCAAAATAAGGGGTGAACTGACCAAGGTTGCAGCCAGCCCCAGCCTGGATGCTGGTGTCCTGTTCTGGGACAAGGCTGTTGATACAGTTAAGCTCAATTCCACTGAGTCCTGTGAGACTGGGGTTAAAAAAAAAAAAAAAAGCTGAAAATGAAACAGACCACCTATGTTAAAAGGGTCTGTCATGCTTTTATCTTAATACTTTATACTAGGTGTTGAGACCTCTAGTGCTCACAATGGACTTGTTTTGGTGTGAATAAAGTAAGAGATTTTCTGTTTCCCAATCAGAAAATGTAACCAGTTGAAGTCTGCCTTGCTGCTCCAAGCTATGAAAAAAAACCCAAAAACACAATGTAATAAACACAATCTGAAAAGTAGCACAGGAATATTACTATTCAGTGTAACAAGTTACTCGGTTCCAACATTTACAGCCATTCACCTTACAGGAATAAAACCCCTTTCACAAGTCTTACAACACAAAATCAGTCTCTTGTGTGTCTGCCCGTAAGGTTGCCTCACAGGCCTATTTACTATCCCAGGACGATGTGCATTGCATGGACTGTGCTGAAATTGAATCAAGATTTGGTAGTGAAGGGACTATTGTCTGTAGCATAGGTGACTGGTAGGGAGAGCCATGTGCCCCCCTGACAGGGCCACCGATGACACTGGCAGCTTCTGCGGGTGCTCCCTAACTCCATCCCCACAGCCGACGCCGCTGGCAGGTTCTGCAGGTTCTCATCAGCACCACCCCCCGCTGGCTCCTGTGGGTGCTCCCCCAGACTCAGGAGGCACCAGTCACCCATGATGTGTAGGATCCCTGCCGTGGAAGTTTGAAGATGTGGAGAGAATGAGTAGAAAGAGAAAGTATAAGTTGTGGTAGTATTGGAGTGACAGGCATGGTGTTTGCTCAGACCTGAAGAAGAATGGACTGCATTAGAATGCTTGTCTAAGTCTAGTCCAACCCTGCAGTTGGTCCAGTAAAAGATGCAGACAGAAGTGCAGCTCTCTGCTGTAACTCACAGCACTTTGCAGGAAGCACTGTTACAGTGCTCTCCTGGACCCAACAGGCTTTCTCTGTTGGGTCCTGAGGGTTGGGAGATTCAGCTTCAATTTGGAGCAGCTGTGAGTCTGCAGCCACTCTCCCCTAGCTCTCCCCCCTGAGGCTCTAATCCACCCACCCCACCTTCCAGGGCCAGCTGAAAAAACCCCAAACCAAAATTCCCTCCACTCCCTTCCCTGCTTCCATTCTAAAGACAGTGCCAGGAGCAGGGCTGGGCTGCATCGGCCCAGCCCTGCTCCTGGCATGCGCAGACAAATATTAATGAAGGCACTCTGTTTTCAAGCATCGTCATCTGAACCTTCATGCAATGAGGGTTCAGATTGTTGCAGGACTGGCCCTCTTAAAGCACTCTACAGCTGTGCACTTGTCTTTGGTCATGGCTGTAACACACTTTCAGGGGCCAGATCAGGTGAAAATTGTCACTTCTGTCTGCGCCTACAAATATCCTTGTCAAAAGGATGTTTGTTGTTAAGAACATTGAATGCTACCCTGGAGAAGTAGATTTTATTTGTGCCACAGAGGTCCTGTGTGATTTTGGGGAGGTCACTTAAACCAAGCTTTTTCATAAGCAGTCACTGTGGTAGACTTGGGTTTTATTAAAGTATTTCTGTTTTAAATGTATTCATTTAAATGTTGTAATGATAAGCGCCTTAGTTTCCCTGACTAGCATGGGGAAAGAAGGTATCTAAGTGCCAGGTACTAAAGTTACCTGAGGGTGGGAGATGACAAAAAAGTTGGAGGTCCATCAGAGAACTGAATAAATAGCCTTGATGATACTTCAGTTTAGGTGATACCCAGGACACCGTGAGGGTCAGGGGCTGAAAGGCCAGAGTCTCAGAGTAGAAAAAAAAATTAGGTCTCCCTCCAATCTAGAAGCTACTCTTGGGCTGATTTTAGAGAAGACCAGACAAAGGCATTGTGACATTTGCTAACTGGGTATATTCTTCAGCTAATGAATGCACAACCTGAGACACCAAGATCCAATTTGTAGAAATGCTTAGCACTCACAGCCACACTGCCAAATAATTAAATCTGTCAGCACAGGAATGCTGCAAAATGCCACAACAGGTATTAGGCATCTCAAAACTAGTAAATACTTTTGACCTGTTTAAGTTCCCCTTAACATCACAGGGGTGTTGTGAAAATAAATGTTTTTTAAAAGTACTTGAATAGTATCATAGAAATGCCTATGAGGAAATTAATTCTCTTTAGAACAGGAAGTGAACAGCATGGAGTAAATAAGGCATGCAGCCATACATTGAATGAAGATAAAAGGCAATATTGAGTCAGTTGGATATTGAATAATATTGTTGTTGACGCAGTATGCACCCTCTATTCTGTGTCCTGAATAAGGCAGAATTACTGTGGAAAAGATCAAGAAACTTGATACATCATATTCTATAGACACAAAGGAACCAATTTAAGGCTGCCTGGGCAACCTTAATTTGGCATTTCCAGCTATCTGTCACTTCAACCTTAATGTTCTTTTAGCATAGGGGTTTTAATGCATAATTTATTATTCAGTTGGCATCACAGCACTAGATTTAAGATTTTGCCTGTGGTAAGCATACAAAAAGAATAAATATCCCGTCACAATAAGCTTGCGCTCTTAGAAGCCCCAAAGTTCCAGTGGGCTCTGCGTGGGTAGACTACCACTGTGATTCCCTATCTCTGGAGGATTCTCCTCTCAAAGTTTGTTCTAGGATCAAGGCCCTAAACTATATCTAAATAGTAATCCACAATTCTTCACTGGTGCATCTTTGTTCAAAATACTGTGTGGAGTTGCAGTGTTACAAAATTATCTATTTGAATTGTTCTACTGCAGACCTTGCCCATAGTGTTAGATGGAAAAAAGCAAAATAACTGCAAACCAGGAAGATAGAAAGACAAAGGAACAGCTTTTATGTGGTGAAATGAACAGAAAGTCTCCTGTGGAAGATGAGACAAACGTTTGTTGCATATTAGGTTTCTTAGTTGCTACGAAGTAAAAGCTGAGGCAGGGGATTTTGCTAACAGGTTTTTTTTCCCCCCCAGTTTTCAGGGCTTCTCTGAACACTCTCCAAAGCATTCTAATAAACACTAGGAGCAGTCAGCACACTCAGACTCCCATTAGACTTTTCACTTACAGTTTTCTTCTTTCTTTTCATTTACATATTTATTGGTATCTACTGAATGAATGGAGTGGAATCGCTGGCTTCAGGGTAATTGTAGTGTCACTTAGACTAACTGACTTAGGGAAGAAACTTCAGCATAAAGAGGAATCTGAAGCAAGTCAAAAAAGTATATAAAAGTCAATTAAATAAACACTATGTCACTGCTAAGCACAAAATTAACTCAGAGGTTGCTAGTCCTTGGCAGGAAGATAGCTTTTTAGAAAACAAACAAACAAAAAGGTCCTTTATATGCAAGATAAAACTACTGAATAGAATGGTTCCAACATTGATTCCAAAAGGATCAAGAAAGTGACACAGGAGGGGAAGATCAGTTATTTATTCTTGGTCACCACCAACAATATGCTTGGTACTGTACAAAAGCGTATAAGATTTGGTCCTTGCTCCAATGAGCATGCCATCCTAGCTTTGTCTGAGCAAACTGCATCATGAACAGCCTGGCCTGAAGGACATTCAAGATGTGACATATGACATGAAGG